TGAGCTAGGCAGGAGTTTACAGCTCCTTCTAGGTGAGATGTGGGTCACCTTTCTGCACCCTTTCAGTGCAGGCTCACTCAACCCGAAATCCTGCTACGAGGCAGGCTCAGGGCTAGACGGCGAGCTGGCCTCAGTCCCACTGATGCTGCCTCCTGGCCTTCTGCCTCCGCCCACTAGGCGTGGGGTCATCCCCTCTTGACAATCAGAGCCACCTCCAGACCTTGCCTGTGCCGTATGGGCAGGGTCAGACGGAGAATCGCCGCTCTGATGCTGTGTCTGGTTGTCAGGTGCCTGGGCCTAGCAACCTGCAGCTACTGTCCATCCACGTGCTTCACAGGCACAATCCCAGCCTCACGCCATCGCCTCCTTTTTGACCCAGCCCTGGAGACTTTCCTTATGGGTAGGTGGTCTCTCAGGTCTCCCCTGGGCTGCGGGTTAGCCTGTGAGGCCACTTTCAAGTGGGCTGGGTCACACCTCCGCCTTGACCTTGAGGTCCAGCACCTGCCTCACTCACTTCCCCATGGAGACAGCATCAGACTTGCCAGGCTATTCCTGGTAGCATAGGTGTATCTGTTTTTGCTGTTATGAATCGAGCATCTTCTCACATATTTAAAAACTTCTTTTCATCTACTGTCAATCAGACTTCATGTCAATCTGCCCATTTTTCCTGTGGCACTTCAGATTTTCTTTATGATCAAGAGCACATGTTTCATTCCACTCCAAGGATGGGAACGAACTCGAGTTTCCACAAGTAACTTCACGATTTTAAGTCAGATGGAAGTCGACTTGAAGTGCTTTCCATGTAACGTGACGTACGGGCAGGTGGTAAAGACAGTCCTCCACATCACTTCAGTTCTGTGGTTCTTCTTCACGATCATCCACCCAACCACAGAAAGCTTAGAGCCCCCCATGCCTTGGCCACAACAGGAGCCAGGTGGGTGGCAGAGGTGGGCAGGCCAGGCGGTAGTTGGCCACAGCAACACAGTGGGATGGGAGGTCCCCAAGAAACACATCAGGTTCTTTCTGTTTCTGAGAGCAAAACCCAGCGTGTATGCTCCTGGTAGGAGCTGCCGCCTCTGCTTCCATTCCAACAGGTATGTGGAGAGAAGGTGCCGCCCTTCACAGCCATGTCCACCCAGAGCCCAAGGAAGCTGGCAGGAACCCTCAAGCAGCACTGGAACTATTTGTAATTTCAGAGGAAAGGTCATCTGGGTGTGCTTTCTGCTTGAGTGTGACCCTTGGGGGGGGGGTGCACCTCCAGGGCAGCCAGAACACAGGTCCTCCCGAAGTGGGAGGCTGGAGCAGGACCCCAGGCAGCCGCACTACCAGGGATCATCAGGGGCAGTTCCTGCAGTCTCAGGCCTGCATGTGCTCCTGTTTTCCTGCCTTGAGCAAGTTCAGTCTCCAGAGATTTTGAATAAGATGAGACCCTCTTGGGGCTGTACCTCAGTGGAAAAGCGCTTGCCTAGCATGTACGAGGCATTGGGTTCGATCCTCAGCACTGCATATAAATGAATACATAAAAAATAAAAGTACATCAACCACTAAAAAAAATAAAAACAAAGACATGTTGTCCATCTACAATTACCAAAACAATAAAATAAAATAAAAAATGACTCTTTAAAAAGAAGAAGGAAAAAAAATCCAAGATCCTCTTCTGCAGTACTTTTTCAAGTTCCCCTGATTTATGGCCTGGAGCCTAGGAAGCGACCGACCCCTGGCTGCGTGGAGCTGTTGGGCACCCCTTCTCAGTGCATGCCATCCAAGAGAGGCTGGGATTTGCAGGTCCTTGGCCTCAGCTGGCCCGCAATGGACTGAGACTGGGTGTTTACTGGATGAAAAGGCAGTGGGGCTTGAACTCACACACAAGCTTGGCTCTTGGATGACCCCAGTCATGCAGCCAGCAAGGCTTTGCAGCTGTAGCACCGGTGCTGGCTGCTGGAGAGGCTCCTGGCCCGCGCAGGTACTGTCCCGTGCAGCCCTCCAGAGTTCAGGCTTCATGCCCCCCAATGGTGAAGTCCCGCAGCCAGCGGGAAGGGACTGTGATTTGTGGATGTTCTTTCCCCTCCCTCTGTTAACACCACCCCTTCCCCCAGCTGTAGGGGAAGCTCACTGCAGGAGGGTGCCCTAGTGTCTGAGCTGCCCCGGGCAGGTAGCTCACTCTGGACCCTTAACATGTGAGATGCATGTAACGAGCAAGATATTCAGACTGTGTGGGTTAGACACAATAATTTACCCAGCACCTACTTAAAAGCTGGTTTAAATTTTTAAAAATTCAGATTAAGCTGGGCAAAGTAGCACACGCCCGTGATTCTAGCAACTCCAGAGACTGAGTCAGGAGGATCACAAATTCAAAGCCAGCTTCTGCAACTTAGAGAGACCCTGTCTCAAAATAAAAAAATAAAAAGGGCTGAGATTGTGACTCAGCAGTAAATTGCCCCTGAATTCAGTCTCAGGTACAAAATATATATATATATATATATATATAAATTAGATTAAGTCTCATAAGGTCACTCTACCATTTTAATCATCTCAACCCTCAATTCAGTGGGTTTAGTGTATTAACAGTATAACCATCACCACTAAGCCCAGAACACTGTCACTTCCACAAAAGAAACTTGGTGCCCATGTCCGCTGCCAGCCTTGTCTTCCTGTGGGTGCATGTAGACTGGACGTGGCACATGAAGGGGCCCTTCCTATGGTTGTCCTCAGCATCGCCTCCCAAGGTCAGCCACACGGCAGCAGCACCTGCTTCTTCTCCACAGCTGACCTGTCCCGGTGTATGAATGGACCCAGTCTGTTCACCCATGTGCCTGTTGATGGGATCTGGGCCACTGTCACCTTGGGCTGCTGTGCATGAGCTGGTGCAGGCATCTGTGTCCAGGTTGTCATGAGAAATGCTGTCATCCTCCGGTGTCTTCCAGGGCTGGGTTTGCAGGGCCGTGGCCCCTGGCTGGCCTTTCTGGGGAGCTGCCAGGCTGTTTCCCACTTCCTGCTGGCCACATGCCAGTTCTGACTTGGCCAAGTCTTCTCTAGCACTTGCTTCTTTCCCGTGTGTGGTGAGGACGTTTACAGGTGTGAGGAGGTGTCTCCCTGTAGTTTTTAGGAAACGCTAAATTTGACCCCAGGCTCCTCCAACGAGCACTTACTGGCTGCTCTCAGAGCCCCCCACCTGCCTCTTGACAGCTCAACATTGGTGTGTCTTCATGTGACTCTCGTAGAGCTGCTTAGGTGTGTGGATCTAGGTTTTCATCAAATTTGGGGATTTTTATCCATCGTTTCTTCAAATATTCTCTTGCTGCTTTCTCCTTGTGGGATATCATACATCCCACAAGTAGGTACCCTCCACAGGAGCCACAGATACCTCAGGATCCATTTGTTTTCTTGTTTCTCCCCCACCACCCACCCGCCCCTGGGCAATGAACCCAGCCCTTTTTATTTTTATTTTAAGACAGGTCTCACTAAGTTGCCCAGGCTGGCCTGGGGAGTTGCTGGGACCACAGGTGGGTGCTGCTGCACCTGGCTTCAGTTTCTTTGGGCTCCTCAGACATGATGCCCTCCGTGGCCTGTCTCAAGTCAGGGTGCTTTCTGCAGCCTCCTGGGTCTGCCCTGGGGCCCCTGGAGGACGTATTTCATTACTTCATGTTTCAGCCCCAGAGTTTCTGTCACTCCCTCTGTAACATCTATGTCCACTGGTCCTGTGTGTGGCGAGGCATTATTCTTGCAGTCTCCTCTGTTCACAGTCTCAGCGGGCTTGGTCAGTTTGTTGCAGTTTCTCTCTGTGGAGGCTACACATTTCATTCTTTGTACACCTCCTGAGTTTTCCATAGAACATTTTAAGAGGCCTGAAACCAGACCCCCTGGGATTTGTTGTAGCTACTGATGTTCAATAACTTTTACTGGAATAATTTTTAACGGTCTGTATTTTTGTTCAAAATGTGGCTGCTAACATCTCTGTTCTATCAGCTCAGTGGTCAATGAGTAAGTGGACACAGATTCTTAAATGCCCAGAATGGAAAGCAAAGCAAGCTTTGCACACAGGCTTTGTGTGTGTGTTTATCTCACTCCAACCCATGCCAGACAGTTCACACCACAGTCTTGCCCTCACCTCACCTTCTCCATGTCTGTCCTGATCTCTGCCTTGCCCCCACCTGCTGGCAGTGGGGAGATCAGCCCAAGGAGAGATGAAGGAACTCCTTTGTTCTTTCCTGAGCTTGTGCACCGTCCAGGCTTGAGCATGGTATTCTGGAGTCTCAGGAATTAGCTGGAACAGATTTCTGAGTTCTTATTCCCCAAAGTGCCTCACTCCCCAGCCTGTCCTCCCACACACTCTGCCTAGCCTGTGGTTCATCCCAGCTGTGACCCACTGCCTCAGCAGCAATAGCTAAGGCATTGGCCAATAAATATCTTCACTCCACACTGCCTGCTTTGGCACTGGGAGAGTTGCCAGCTATGAGAGATAAAGCCAAGACCTTCAAGCTGGCTTCTGGGAGCCACCAGGTAGGTCCAGGTAATGACAGTCACTGGTGCAGGAGGTCCGACTGTAGGGGAGAGGGTTTGCAGGCTGTGTTTCCAGGACCACTGCTAAGCTGGGAGCAGAGCAGAAGAGGAGGGCACAGTCAAAACTGCAAAGCTTCAGACTGGGCTGGGCTGTCTTGAGTGTTCCGAGGTTGCTGGTTAGTTCCCAGAGTTCAAAAAGAGTTGATTTTAGAATTATCTTACCAGGTTTTTTCCCCATTTCTTTGAGCAACGCCTTGCCCAGATCTCTGGCTGTGTCTCTAAGACGGACCCAAATATGAATGTGTGCAAGCCTCTCTCCAGCACCTGTTCCAAAGCAAATCCCAGCATGTGTCACTGTTCTCAGGCCACGAGTTAAGGTCAGGTCTCCACTTAACCAGCTCCGCTAGAAAGCTTGAAAGTTCTGTTGGGATTTTGTGAGCTTGGGAATGCGAGAGGAGAAAGCAGCAGGTTCACTGGCGCCTGCCTCTTTTTTCTTGCAGACCCCGTCTCCCAAGAGCGCGGCTCCGTGACCTCTTGGGGCAGCACCTCTGAGCACCGGCCGGCACATGGGGCCATGGCCCTACTCCCGGGGCACGCCGAGCCCCCCAGTTGGCCGCCTGGTGGTGGACCTGCCCCCGCTCGGCACGTCATCATCAACGTCGGCGGCTGCAGGGTTCGCCTGGCCTGGGCCGCGCTGGCGCGCTGTCCCCTCGCGCGCCTCGAGCGCCTGAGCGCATGCCGAGGCCGCGACGAGCTGCTGCGCGTGTGCGATGACTATGACGTGAGCCGTGACGAGTTCTTCTTCGACAGAAGCCCGTGCGCCTTCCGTGCCATAGTGGCCCTGCTGCACGCCGGCAAGCTGCGGTTGCTGCGTGGACCGTGCGCGCTGGCCTTCCGCGACGAGCTGGCCTACTGGGGCATCGACGAGGCGCGCCTGGAGCGCTGCTGCCTGCGCCGCCTGCGCCGCCGCGAGGAGGAGGCCGCCGAGGCCCGCGCTGTGCAGACTGGGCACGTGGCGCCAGGGAGCCCGGCGCGCGCCCTCGGGCCGGGGCGGCTAGAGCGCAGTCGGCAGCGCCTGCGCGATGTGGTGGACAACCCACATTCCGGGCTGGCGGGCAAGCTCTTCGCCTTTGTCTCCGTGTCCTTCGTGGCCGTCACGGCGGTTGGCCTTTGCCTGAGCACCATGCCGGACATGCGTGCGGAGGAGGAGCGGGTGAGCGTGGTGGGTCGGTGGGGCCACCCTTGGGCAGGGTGGGGCAGGAAGTGCTGGCTGGGGGCAAGCCTACATGTGGGAGGTGGCAACGCTGGCAGCCCTGCCAATCTCAGAACAACATGGGTGGGACACACGCGGGGGTCGGGACAGGACAGGACATAGAGGGGTAGAGGGCCCCAAGAGAGCCCTGGTCTTGTTTGTGTACAACCCTCCTGCAGTGGTGGGTGAGGCCACTGGGCCGTGAGTGAAGGTCCAGTGGGCAGAATCTGGGCTCTAGGTTAGAGTCAGTTTGGGCATCCATCCCCAGGCCTGATCCATTTTTCTCTGGAGTCTTTCCAACAGCTCAGCCAGGGGTGGACTACCTGAAGCTAAAAATATGCAATACCTTAAGGGTCTAGAGAACTGTGTGGTTTGGCCCCAAATTTGGTCATTCCAGGGCAAAGGAATGAGACCTATGTTCTCCTGGGGCAGCAGGGCCAGAGCCAAGTCAGCTTTGGGGGGGGGGGGGGCGGGGGGGCACTCCATCATATCACAGTAGCTTTCTGCCCCCTTCTTTCTGGCTTGTTGACCAATGGGAGAATTGCAGCACAGAAGAGCTAGGCAGAAGTGTCACTTGTGGGTTAAGCTAAGTTCTCAAGACAAGGCAAGGGCAGGTGAAAGACTGTCCTTGCAGTTAGCCTGCATTTGCACACATTGTGCACCATGGAATGTCCTGAAAACATTGTGTAAGGATGGTGTGCACCAGGGCAGGTGTCGGGATTAGTAGGGAAGGCACGGTCACTCCTCCTCATGGTGCTTCATTCCTACAGAGGCTCCTAACCTTCCACCTCTGGTCAGCTGGCCAGAGCCCTTTGGGTGTCCAGGGACAAGTGCTGGAGCCCTCCAGGGGTTAGCTCATTCAGAGAAGCAGGAGAGCTGAATGGAGTAGGAGCGTGGCGGCCTTACTACAGGCTAGGTTTGCATGTAAATTTTGGACACTGGTTGGCCTGTTTCGTTGATGAGGGTCCCACAACTGAGCTGTCATGTCCAGTCATCTTAACCAAGCCTGAGTTGCTAATTCTGCTTCTAAAAAGATACTGATGGGTTTGTATTTCTAAGTAGCAATTACTCAGTGCAGCATTCAGAAGGGGGAAATCACTTACGTAAGACCAGGGAGTGGAGCAGTCAGGGCTGCCTGGGCCAGCAAAGGATCTGGGAGCCCCAACTGCAGATCCTCTCTTAGGCATCTCTGGTCCCCATCACGCCTCTTCACACTCCCAGACACTATCTTCCTAACTCAGTTTCACATTCAAGAGTGGAGCCTCCATTGTGGGAGGACATGGGGAGAGGCGTCCATGCTGCCAGAGGGGCTGGCCAATGTGGGCTCTTGGAAAGCTGTTTGCCAATGGTCAAGAGCTTGTGACAAGACACTTCTGAGAACATCTGTCTTAGGGACATGGGAAGCTACAGGCACTGTGGGCAGGGCTGCAGGTCCCACACCCTTCTAGAATAAGGATGATGTTAGTCAGCTGGACCTGGAAAGCAAGGACAGTGACGGATGCTCATCATTGACAGCACCTGTTAGGAGCCCATTTGGGATCACTGCCTTCCTTCCATAACCCCGAAGCAAATGCCACAGCCTGTCTGACTTAAAACAAGATTCGTTCTGGTACAGTCCTGTGGGCGAAAGTTCACAATGGGTGTGCATGGGCCAGAAGCCCAGGTGCCACAGGGTGGTTCCTTCTGCAGGCTGTGGAGAAGCCATGTCCTTGCAGCCTCCTCCATCACCAGTACACATCCCTGGCCTCCGCTTCCACCTGTCTTCTGCTCTGACTGGCCCCAGCTGTCCCCTTAACACTAACCCTTACCACACTGAGCCCAACTGGTGATCAGGACACTCTTCCATCCTGGGTCCCTTAACTTGGTTACACCCATAAGTCCCTTTTGTCTTGTGAGGTGATGTCTCCCTGGGCTCCAGAATGAGGATGGGGAGGCCTCTGGGGGCTACCCTGGCCTCTAGGTCGAGTGCTAGGGCTCAACCCACATCCTGTCCTGGAAGCCACTTGCCTGCCTACATCAGAGAAGTTCAGCATGCATCTGCCTCCTGGCACCTGGTCCAGGCACCCAGAGGAGGAGGGACATGTGTCACTGCTAGAGAGCAGCCGTGGCCTGGCTGCGGGGATCCGAGGAAGACCTGTGAGTTGGAATTGCACTGTCTCCTGCGAACTCTCACAGTTCAGCTCTGTGCAGCTGTGTGGCAGTTCTCCTGGGGCCCTGCTTTTGTTCACACTAAGCAGCCTTAGGACTGTTGTTCATAAAGTCCCGTCTACTTACGAGATCTGAGACCTAGAGCAGAGGGCTCACCTGTGCCCAGCACCTGAGCCTGAGGACCAGCTCTCATGCTGCAGGTCAGATCCTTCACTCTGAGATGTCTGGGCAGGAGGGTCTGGAGGAGGGGCCATCTGCTGGGTCATCCCCATCCTGTGGGCTTGTCCCCTGCATCGTGTGCTCTGGAGCTGCACCTAGACCTGCCTGCTGTCCAAGCAGGGCTCAGGCTTGGGGTGACCGCCATGAGTTTTGGATGGAGGACACAGTGTGTCTCTGCCCCCACCTCATGCTGCCATCCAGTGCTGATGGTTGCTTAGGGACCACAACAAAGGTGTCACATGAACACACAGGTGCTGCACAGGCCCTGATTGCAACAACCCTGATGGCTGTGGAATGACCTGGAAGGACTCTCTGTAGTGAGGCCAGGAGGTTGAGGATGCTGCAGGTCCCAGGCACCCCCAGTGGTCAGCGCATGCCAGGGGCTGGCTTCTGGACAAGGTGGGGTCTCAGTGCCACTGGACCATGAAGAGGCGTGGACAGGGCTTCTCACTCCAGCAGGGAGCTGGGAGAGCTCTCCTGTGCAGGGGTGGCTGTGTTGCCTGGGCCCGTGCATACCAGCCTCTGAGAAGAGCCTGTGGCTGCCTAGCTTGCAGTAAGGGGCATTTCTCAAGGTCCACCACTTCCTTTCATGTTCTGACCATCTGGGAGTGTAGGTCGATTTTCCTCTTTAAATTTGCATGATTAACTGAAGGCCAACGTGATTAGTTATGGATTTCACACCTGGGAGTCCAGCTCCTAGACCCCCCTGAGGATGGGTCTGCAGCACTGTGAGCTGGTGCTGTTTCTGGTGCACACGGCACATGGTGTTTTGTCAGCTTCTGCCTAGAGCGAGATCAGTGCTGTGTCTGAGCTGGGCCACCATCCCCCATGCCCAGTGCACCAACTCATGTGTCAGTCACCCCCAGAAGCACCTCATAGACATATCCAGGGTAAAGTCTGACCAGCAGCTGGGCACCCCGTGGCCCAGTCCACTCATTCCCCACCACTTGAGCTCTGGTGCCCTCCGTCCCACCAGTGTGGGTCTGTATGGTGGGGCCCTGGCTCGCCAGCATCCATGAGGTGAGGAGGAGTCACACTTCCCAGCTCCTCCCGTCTGTCTTCCTGGGCCCTGCGTGGTCTGTGGGGCCCCTGACCAGCCTCCAGGGCTGTGCACTCCAGCTTGAAGCTTGGATAAAGCTTCTGAGGCTCACCCTGAGCCTTGTGGTAAGCTGCCCTGGACCTACACATGGGGGTGCTCACACTGAGAACCATCTGCTGCCAGGCAGGTATTCTGCACAACTCAGGAGGCTGAGGCAGGAGGATCGCAAGTTCAAGGCCAGCCTAGCAATTTAGTGAGACACTGTCTCAAAGTAAAGTGAAAAGGGCTGAGATACAACTCACTGGTGCAGCACCTCTAAGTTCATCCCCCGCCCCCCAAAAAAAAGAAGAGAAAGGAAAAACACTAACATGGTTCGTTTGGAGAAGGCAGACCAAGGCACTCCCATGGGGACCACAGCCTGAGCTTTCCCATCCCAGGCCTGCCTGGTGACAGCCATGGTGCAGTGTGGGCCATGGGTGACAGCTAAGGCATGGCCACAGCAGGGCCTAGTGGTGGCCATGGTGCTGGGACAGCTGTGGGGTGAAGGCTGTGGTGTGGTGACAGCTGGATGATGGCCACTGCATGGTGGCACTTGTGCTAGGGCTGTGGTGTCAGACCTGCATTCAGGTCTCCACGGGGGGAGGCTCCTTCTCTCTGTGAACTAACAAGCAGAGCTGGACCCTCGACTCTAGCCTCTGAAGTCGGTCGTCCCAGCTGGTGTTGCCTGATGAATTTATGCTTGGGTGGATTCAGTTCCCTTCTGTCACCCAAAGTGAGTCCGGATGGGCAGCATGGGTCAGCATGGTCTCTCCCAGAGGCTCCCAGCTGCCCTTCCTAGGCGTGGGGACAAAACCTAGTGGGGTGGGGGGGCAACCCATGGCCACACATGGGTGCCTCGGGGGTCTGTTGACAAGACTGTGTGGCACTCCTGGGTGGAGCCATCTTCACAGGGGCCCAGGAGGCTGCAGGTGGTGTTTGCACAGAGGAGGGAGAGGCAGACAGTGCCCACACACTGCTGCCCTGCATGCTGGCCCCCTAGGGCCATGCTTGGACCGCTGGAGCACAGAGGGCCGAGGGTACTGGCCAGAGCTCAGGGCACTGCGGGCCCTGCCTGGACAGCCCAGTCAGCCACAGACTCCCCATCCCGTCTCATGGTAAGGGGTTGGGTTGGCTTATCTTCATGTTTGCAGAGACCTGCTCCAAGCATCAGCAAACCAGCAGCACGGCCATGAGTGAATCTGTGCTGCGCATCCTGGAGGGCCTCGGGCCTGGGGTCAGATGTGGTCGCCCACCTTCCTGTTCTGTGAAGTGGGGACCATTCCTCAGGGTGCTGCGCAGTGGGGTGAGCGCACAGCAGGGGCTCGGCCATCCTGCTCCTCTGCAGTCCTCCCCCCTGCAGCTGGCCCCTCCCTCGCAGGAGTCCCCAGTGCTGTCGCACCCCTGAGTGGCCAGTGTACCGTGCTGCCCAGATGGATGTGGGAGGCACAGAAGGCCAGTGCCCACGTCCGGGATCACTGCCTGCTTTTGTGGGAGGCCACGTGGGCTCTGGGAGGCA